GTGCAAAAACAAAATAAATCTCAAACTGATTAAGTTGATATGAAAAATGAAGAATGCTAAAAATGAAGATTTCATCATTCAATAAGTGATGACAACATTGTCCAATAAAAAAGCAATGAAAATATTCTCATCATCATCAACAAACCATTTTTGAATCGATATTCGTCAATCGATTGATTTGAAAAACGATTGACCAATGTCCGATTGGTTTTCAATGCTACAAACATATACAAAACAAAAACACTCAATTCGACATACATTTAATGATTGTCCATTAAAATCGGGTCAATGATTTAAAATGAATTGACTGTGAAATTTTGGACCAATATTTAAAAAAAATCCATCAATCGAATTGAAACAACAGAAACAAAACAAAACGAAGCATGAAACAAAACAACAAAATACAAAAATTCAAATCGGATTCAGCAATATTCATTTATATAAATGACCTGTACCCGTTACAAATTTTATTAATCATTTATTATCATCAATGATGATGATGATAATGATGTTTCAATGAAAATATACTTTCATAATGATAAATCAAAGTTGTCCACGATTCAAAGAACAAAGCGTAACATTAATAAGAAAAATAATAGATCAGATATATGTAAGTGAACAACAACAACGACAACAACAAAAACTTCAAGGCAATCGATATAAGATAATTAGATCTTCAATGATATTATTGAAAAATGTTTTGTGCCCCTGAAGCCTTGTTTGTATTTGTAATTTGTCATAAATTCGTTTGAACAAAAAAAAAAAAAAATATTTGTAAAAACAAACAAAAAAAAACAAACGGGGAAAAAAATCAATGTAATTAATCAATCACATTTCTTCAGTTTCTTATTACACACAGGTAAATTAATCACAATTACAAAAAAAAAGTGAAAAAAGGAAAACTTTTTTAAATTTTTTTGAAAATTATAAATTTTTTTCCATCTTTTTTCAACATCAACTTTTTCCCTTCCAGTCAAATTGATTGTTAATCTGTAAGTCGTTTATTGGAAAGATTATTATTGATCTGTTGATTCAGTAGTACTATATAATAGTTTTTGTCTGATGATGGTCAATCAAAAATATAAAAATTCGTACAATAATTATCGATCAATCCATCAATACATTTTATGTTTGTTTTCTTTTTCAAAATTTCACAACATAAGCAGTAAAGATGCATGTTTGCAATGGATAATTATGAGAATCATCAAGTTTTCTTTTAAATTCAATTTTTTGTTTTCTTTTGAAAACAAACAATGTCCAGGAAACAGAAAATCGTTGATCATACACAGGGTTAATACATTTTTTTTGTTTTGTTTTCATTGAAAACATTTTTTTTATTTGTGTTAAATTGATCAAGACTTGAGGCGCTGTTTTTCGTTTGTTTGTTTGAAAAACATTTGATTGCATCCAATCAAATCGATAACTAAATAAATTTGTATGGAAAACATCAAAGTTTTTTTTCCTGATCAATTTTTTGATTCAGAAAATTCACTATTTCGTTGTGAACTGAAGAAAACCAGTCAACAGTGTGTTTCCGGCATCAATGAAACCATCATTGTATTGCATTAAAACATCTTAAACAACAACAGAAACAACAACACGGTAATTATTAAGATAACAAGACCACTTTATTATGAACGATAAGATCAATACAAAAACAGTAAAACAGCAGTAAACAACGTAAATTTTCTTTTCGATTATCAATGCAATACAATCATCGTGTGTGTGTGTGTGTGTGTATGTGTTTGATGACAGATATTAATGATTTATTGCTAATTACTAATCACTTGATCATTATTTTATCAATCGATTTTACACAATCATTATCATTATTTTGATTTGATATTATAATTTCTTCATCATTGGATTGTGTTTTTTTCTTTTCTTTTTTTTTGAATGGATGTTTTCAGGCTAATAGACTGGCCAAAATTCATTTAGTTTTACACAAAAAACTTCTGGAATGATTTGTAAACCAGAAAAAAGAAGTGAACATAAAAATCAAACCGATATACATTTCGGATAAAATGGAACAAAACAAAATTGGAAAAATTGGAAAAATCTTTCTCGCTCCCATCGAAAGAAAGATAAATAGCCATTGTCCATTATCATCATTCAAAAATCATCAAATAATTTTCGTTTTTTGTTTTTTATAACGTAAATTTCACGAGTTTTTTGTTTCTTAACAATACAAAAAAAAGTCATTTGCCTTCATTATAATAATGATTGCCAACAACAACAACAAAAACAATAATAATAACCGTTGTTTCGGAAATTAATGTTTTTAAATGTGAATGTTGTATTGTGTGTTGTTGTTGTTGATTCAACTATTCGAACAAACGATATTGATGGATTTATTTTTGTCCAACAATCGTAATTGTTACGAATTTACGAACGAATCTATTTTTTCCCCCCACTAATAAAATTGTTTTTTGTTGCTGTTTTTCGAGGATAAAATTTGAATTTGATGTTCAAAAACAACAACAACGAAAAAAAAAATCAAACGAATTTGATTGATATTTGTTCAAAGTTCAAAAAATATTCAATGCAAATTTTATGCAAAGTTTTTTGCTTTTGTTGCTTCGATTGTGAATAATGATCATTATACAGTAGTGGAATTTGCATCTTTTTCTTTCTATCGATTTGATAATCCTAATTATCAGTCAATCGCAAATAATGATAATAATGGAAATCAAATTTCAAAATCAAATATAAAGATGAATGACCAATACAGGTATGGCCATCTAGTGGCCAACACTGTAAATGAAAAAAAATGTTAATTTCATCATAAAATCATTAGAAAAAGTTTTCTTGATTAATTAATCAATTAATATTTTGTTCATTAGTCGATTGAATGTATCGATTGATTAATAATCGATTGATCGATTATAGCGACAGATCACTATCATCATTCATAACATAAATATGTCATAAATCTATACGATCAACATTTTTTAATTTCATGTCGATTTTCAATAATCCCATAGATAATGTTAGGATTGGAGGATTTTATAATTAATTTTTTGCTATTTATGGCCAACTAACATCAAAGGAAATTTTTTTTCTGTCCCCCAATCAAAGACCACCAAGGTATATCAAAATAATTTTTCAAACGAGACAAACAAACAAAAAAAACATTGAAAAATTGTTCGGTTTTTTTCTCCACTTGACCGAAAGATTTATGATCAATTTTTTTTCTGTTGGAAGATCAAACTATTTTGGAGACAGACAACTATACTTTGTCTTGCGAAAAGAATTCAATTTGAGAAATGAATGTATTTTTGGTATCAAACATCACATCATTTTGATCTGAATATTCCGAAATTGATGAGATTCTTTTTTAAAAAAGGCACCGCGATTATCATTCTTGCGTTTTATTTTGCTGAAAAAAGAAGTGTTTGGATAGAAGAAAATCAGATAAAAAAATTGCTTTTTCTTTTGGAAAACAAGAAAGAATTTCAACAAAACAAAATCGAAATTCATAATCACATCACGAATCCTGTTTTGTCATCAATAGTGTGTGGATATTGAAGTGTCAAAATAGATTGCATGCATCGTCATCTAATACAATATCGATTCATTAATTTGACACGTTTCATTCAATTGAATCGTTCTTGTTTTTTTTTTGGAATTAAGATTCTCTAATAAATCAATTGAATTCGTATAAAGATAGATAAATAAAAAAAAATAATGAAGATATCTTTGTCGAAATGAAGATTTTCAAAGCAGAAAAAATTCTTATCAGATTGATTAATCTACAGGTAATTCTTGAATGTAACGATTGAATGCTGAATTTATTCTGAATGAATGAGAAAAAAAACGTTTTCAATTTTCTCTATTGGATCATTCCATTTTGGATAAAGGAATTTGAAAGAATCAATTTCCTTACTATCATCATCATCATCATTGGGATTTTTTATTCTCGAATGATTCTATGATGATGATGATGATTGAAATCTTTCTTTTTTTTGCAATTTCCAATCTAATGAGAGTGTGGCAAGTTTGGAAAATGAAGAAATGAGAAAAAATAACATTGTAATAACCACAATTGAATTAACCGACCAACCAACCGATCGACCGTCCGATCGTATTTTCAACTATCCATCATTGTAATCATCATCATCATCGAATGTGATTCCGATTCTAATCGAAAAAAAAATAAAACTTTTCGTTTTTTTCTGTCGATTCAATTGTTCTCGGTTCGGTCCATTCTAATCATTATCATAGTGATTGGTAAAGCTAGTTAGTTTGATTCATTAGTAGTTGGATTCATTTGATAATAAAGTGCGGTTGAATTCCTCCAATCTATCGATCTAATCTATCAATTCGCGGACAATCGATTCTCGGACCAAATGAAATGAATGGAAAAATTTTCTTCTTTGGGTGAACATTGTGCCAAAATGATTTTCAAGAAATAAAAATGATGATAATGATAAGGATGACACTGAAAACAAGGATGTCAGCATTATTAATAAAAAAAATTTTGATAATGAATTTTTTTTTGTATTTTTGTGAAAATGAAATTAACTTTATTATAACTAGGTTATAATTATAAAAATTTTAATTAGTTTGGTTAGTTGGTTAGTTTTTTTGTGTGTTTTCATTTGAAAAAGATTATAATTATTAAAATTATAATTATCATTTGTCGTATACCTGATGTTACCCTACACGTATTCCAAAAGGTATTGCAATATAAATACGAGTTTATTGCTCGTAATAAAATGTGATTGATTGATACAATTGACTGACAGACAAAACCCACAATGGTGATGAGTTGATTGACAATAAAACAATTTTTTTTTTCTTTCAAACACATCATAGGATCATCAAATTATAATCAAATATACGAGGATTAATAAAGGTAATGACATATTATTAATTGTCACACGTACTTCAGGTTTGATTTACTTGATATGATTAGATAATAATAAAAACGACAAAACGTCAAAAATCGATTGGTATATAAACGATGCCTCAATGTTTGGCATTTTCATTGGACATCATTCAATTTATTCTGATTTTGAATAATAATTTTTTTTTTGAAAACATTGAAAAACATTGAAGCAACTGTGTGTACAACCAGAAAGATGATCATCTATAATATTTTAATTGTTTTATTATTGGCCATTAATACATTGGCTAATCCAATTCTACCAGCATCACCAAATGCAACTATTGTTGGTGGTGAAAAAGCATTAGCTGGTGAATGTCCATATCAGATTTCATTACAATCAAGTAGTCATTTTTGTGGTGGTACTATTCTTGATGAATATTGGATTTTAACAGCTGCACATTGTGTTGCCGGGTAAGTTTTGTTGTTGTTGACTAAATTGAATAATCAAAATAATAATTTTTTTTTTGTTGTAATTTTTTTCATTGAAAAATTTATAGACAAACAGCAAGTAAACTATCAATTCGTTACAATAGTTTAAAACATTCATTAGGTGGTGAAAAAATATCTGTTGCTAAAATTTATGCACATGAAAAATATGATAGCTTTAAAATTGATAATGATATTGCATTGATCAAACTTAAAACACCAATGAAATTAGATCAGAAAAATGCCAAAGCTGTTGGATTACCAGCAAAAGGATCGGATGTAAAAGTTGGTGATCAAGTTCGTGTTTCTGGTTGGGGTTATCTTGAAGAAGGAAGTTATTCATTACCATCTGAATTAAGACGTGTTGATATTGCTGTTGTATCACGTAAAGAATGTAATGAATTATATTCAAAAGCTAATGCTGAAGTTACTGATAATATGATTTGTGGTGGTGATGTTGCAAATGGTGGTAAAGATTCTTGTCAAGGTGATTCTGGTGGACCGGTTGTTGATGTTAAAAATAATCAAGTTGTTGGTATTGTTTCATGGGGTTATGGTTGTGCACGTAAAGGTTATCCAGGTGTTTATACACGTGTTGGTAATTTTATCGATTGGATTGAATCAAAACGTTCACAGTGATTGATAAAAACAATTTCGACATATAAAAATTGGCAAATGATGCCATTATATGTTATCATTATGTTTCTGGTGATTCTTTTTCTACTTTTATCATTTTATTTTATATTCGAGTTGAAAACAAACAATCCGGATTGTATAGGGATTTGTTTTTTGTTTTTTCAATTTAGAAAAATCCAAAATAAATAAATAAACATTTCAAGAAAGTTTGCTTTGTTTTTTCTTTCAAATATTCGTGTAAATCATTAATCAGGAGTTCATTTTTGTTTTGTTAGCTAATGAATACCCGTGAGATTTGATTTGGGTTTTGAGAAAAATAAACGCGTGCACGGATGTTTGTTGTTTGCTGTTTTTTACCAATTTTGTTTGATTGATAAAACTTATTTGTTAGAGTGGAAAATGGATTTTTTTTCACTATAAATATTGATCGGTAATCGATTTATAGTGAAAGTTTGAAAAGAAAAACATCAGCAAAATCAAAACAAATCCGGTGTTCAATCAACAATTTTTTTTTCTTAATCAAAAAAAAAATTGTTGGATCATTAGATGTGTGATGGATAAGTCAGTCAATATCCGAAAACAATTGGTCTCATTAATGATTTGAAGAAAAAAAAAGTAGACTTAAGCGTAACACTCAAGAGAAATCAATGTTTGAGAAATGAAAAAACAATAAAATTTTCGACAAATCCTCAAATAAAACATCAACAACAAAAAATTTCTCCTAGAGAAAAATAAAACATTCATGTCCATTCCGGTAATTCTGCCTTGTAAAAATCTTGGCCAATTTAAATTGAATGATTGGTTTGGATTTGAATGGAAAACAAAAACAGCGCAATCCAAATTGCAGGCAAATTGATTTCCAATTTTTCTTGAACTAAAACTAAATCAAAATGATCAAATTGATGACAGACAATACAAGTATGTTGTAATGTACTTTGCTTTCAGCTACACAAACAACTTTTACACACACTCGCACATAAACAAAAACGAAAAAAACAAGGAAAAGAATCCTAATCATCATCACATATCGAATTATCATAATGGAATTTTGTTGTACCTGATTTTCATGAACAAGTTCAAAAAAACATTGGGATTCATTCAATGATGATGATGAGTCATTGCCAATAGAAAAATTGTTCAATTGAATAATTCTGGATTGATAAATGAATCAAAATTCTAACCAACAACAACAACGACAAAAAATAACAAGTGAATTTCCACCATTTCAATACCAATTCCATACCAATTCTATTCTTCTTAACAACAAATATTATCTATCGATTTTTTTTGACCAAAGGAAAAAAATATACATTTCCTGTTCATAATGATGTAATTTCAACCAAAAAAAATTCCTTGTTACAATATAAAATTTACCTTAGAAACAACTATGATAATGGTAATAAATTTTGATTATGATTTTTTTTTTCGTTTGTCCACTGACCACCACCACCACCACCACCACCATTATCAACAACAGTAATTTTCATTTGGTTACTAGGTTGATTTCATTGGATCGCAGCATAGAAAAAAAACACCTACACCTGGCACACACGATTTCTACTAAACACCACCAACAAAGCAAGCAAGCAAAAATCATTGAACCAAATATTAATCCATTATCATCACTTCGTGACAATTAACTTGGCCATAACATAGGCCATACAAAAACACCAATGCCAACACCGACACACACACACGCAAAACACCACCAACCGGGCATATCGCGCCAACAGAACCAAAAACAAAAGCCAAAAAAAGTTCCAAAAACAAAAACAAAAAGAGATGAAAAAAAACTGATATCAGAAACGATAATGGTGAACAACACAAATGATGATGATTATTATTATGATGATTATGCAAATGGAATTATATGAGTGAAACCAAAAGTCGATGATAATTATAATTATCGTGTGTGTGTGTGGAATAGAATATTCTCTTCCTCTCTCTCTTGGCTGGATTATATTATTATTATTAAGTTTGGTTTAGTTTAGTTTAATATCATAACATTTATAAATCATTTAGCACTATATTAATTGATTTCTTCTTGCGATATTTTTCTTACCGTGAAGATGATATTATAAGAAATTGTTTGAAATCGTTGTTGAAAATCAAATATTTGCTGTGTGTGGACAAAATTTAACATTGGACAAATGGAAATTGAGAAACTAAACTTAAAAAAAAACAACTAACCGGATGATCTAGTGATGAATTCAAATTCAGTTTTCGTATTCATTTCCAATTTGAATTTCCGGTAATTTCCATATAAATGTTTTTTGTTTTTGATTTTTGAGGAAATTTTTCAGGAAATCAGAAATTGTAATGATGAAGAGTCTCATTTTTTTCTGGAAAAATTTCCCATTATTTTTGAACCAAAATAAAAAAAAAATCAAAGTTGAAACAAAACAAAACGAAAAAAATTACTAAACCAAAGGAATAAATTACCGAAAATCGATTTTGCAATCCGTAATGAATATCGTGTTCTTTTATATAATGATTTTATTATACGAAAAAAAAAATCTTAATATACTTCTTCGTGTCATGATTCACAAACTTGTTCTGGATCAGAATTGATGAATTCCGGAAAAAAAGTAAGTAAGTAGAATCTATAGGCAAAATTAAATTCAAGAATTTTTGGCATCGCTATCCATCCATAATAATAATAATACAGAGAATCTTTCATTTTTTTTTCTACTTATCGTTGTTAAATTCTTATTTTGGAAACAAAAAATGAAAATAAAAATGAAAATTCTCTTTCAATCAATGTATTTTGTTATCATCATCATCATCGAATAAAGAACATTGCTTTTTATGATGAACACAAATCACAAAATATACAGAATTTTTTTTTTTTTTTTGGATGAAGGGCCAACTAATATTGTCCAAAATCATAAAACGGGATGCTAACAATCTCTCTCTCTCTCTCTCTCTCTCTCTCTCTCTCTCTCTCTGGTTTGGTTGAGTCGATGTCTCGTTGTCGAGAGAGAAAGAGAGTGGAAAAATGATTTCATTTCATTCATATTGGTTTCTCATCATCATCATCATCATCATTATTATGCGGTTCAATTTGATTTGCTTCATTCATTCATTCATTTAGCTTTGTTCACATGTTATGATTATATAATGTTAAATGATGATGATGATGATGATTTTTCAATCATTATTTTCTTTTTTTCTTCTTCACGTTTTTTTTCGATAATCTAATTATGTTTTACATACATACATACATACATACATTGAACATTGAAGAATCGACAATTCACATTCTAACCATTCATAGACTGTATTATATTTTTTTGGTTAAGAATTTTTTTAAATAAAAATAAATCATTTCATTTAGGTTTTTTTCCTTTCATTGAAAGCAATACAGATTTCCAAAAACATAATAATAACATGTACATTACCACGAATGACAACCAACAAAATAAAAACATCTAAGATTCGTGGTTTTTTTTTGTTCATGATAACTAATGGTAAAAAATGTTTCTTGTTTCAACATCAAAATATACTTAACATGTTAATGATGAATTATATGATTATTTATGTTTGGTGGGGGGAGGGAAGAAAAATTTTTTTCAATGTCAACAATGAAAAATTATGGAATCAATTTATCCAGGTCCCATATGGGAAAATCCAAATGAATATTGCACGTGTTATTGTTAACTTTGTTGACAAAATTTTTGTTCAATCAGCAATATTAGACAAATGATGAATACCTTAATTCATTCATTCTTTCATTCATTCTTTTCCTTTTCTTTCTGTCTATTCAAAATCAACTTGAATGGGATAGAAATTCCATCATGAATCGCATTGATAAAAAGGAAAATTTTTTGATTAAAAAAATTCATGATGGAACCACTGAATGAAATATTGGAAGAATTCTGTAACGGAAAAAAGAAGGAAAAAGTTTATCTTCATTGTGTGTGTTTGTTTAAATTTTTTTTGTTATCAAATTTTAAACAAACAAAGAATGAAAAAATTTAATTTTTATTGAAGAAAAAAAATTCAACTTGAACATTTTGTCTCGAATCATTGAAGAGTGTATTTTCATTTTTGTTTCCCAATTTCAATCATTCGGGTGATAATAATCCAATTTGAGTATTGGAAAAAGAAAAAGATCGCATGTGTTTTTCATGATCCAAAAATCATCATCAGAATTGATGATTTTCATAACTATTGAACCATTCTTCGGGATATATTCGATCGAAAAAAAAGAAAAAATGCATGCAACAACAACAACAACAACAATGATGCTTGGATAATGTTTTTGTTGATACAAAAAATTAAGAAACTTTTTTTTTGTTCAAAAAAAAGAAAACGGTTTGGTTTGTTGATTATGTTTTTCATTCATTCAAACATATATAAACAAATATGACATGCACAAAAAAGATGCAAAATTGAATATTATTATTATTATTCATTCATTCATTCAAACAAACATCAATAATCAAATCAAATTAGATAATCATATGAATAAATAAACAAACAAAC